CAACTAGAACCTCCCAACTAGAATGTCTCAGCTAGAAAAACTCAGACTGGCCAAACCAGAGAGGGAGTTTTTAACGGACTGTTTTATTTACTTTCATTCATTTGATGCCTTTGTTTACATCAAAACAAACAGGATTATCAAACTAAAAGGTCTGTATTATGTAGAAACTCTGGTTTTATTTGCAATCATATACATATATTTAAATAATCTAATAATTATTCAAATCAAATCATAGGATTTCATGTTTAAGTTCAGGCTAAAATAATTTAAATGTGTGAGAATTAGAGGAGTTGATGATTTAATGAATATTTTATTAATCAATCTGAGCTTCAAAATGTTTCCATTCAACCAGAATATTTTTATCTGGCTTTATTGAGATCAAGTAGATCTGAAGAGTTTCATCAGATCTGAAGAAAACAGCTGAACCTCTGACTAAATGCTTCGTTCGATCCAACATGGTTTTCCTGGTCGGTTCTGATCCTCTGTCAGCGGGTCGGTCCGTCCTGCAGGTTGGAGATTCCTGAGCAGCAGCAGCTGATCCACAGTCCTGACCCGGCTGCAAAGCATGGATCAGAACCCTCTGTTCATACGGGATCGGTTTACAGGAGAACCAGAACCAGAACAGTAGCTCTGCTGGATGGACTGAGGAGAACCAGAGGAACCAGCTGGTTCCTCCTGCAGCATGAACATCCTGTCAGCTGCAGAGTTAAAACTTTACATCTTTGCTCCACTCTCTGGGTTTCAGCCAATCAGCAGCTAGCATTATGGGTGGCTGCTGATTGGCTTCCCAAGCTGCATTTTTGGTAAATGCATCACATTCTCTCAACTGAATGCAATAAAAAAATAAACATTCATGTTTTTTAACATCCATGTTTATGAAGTTGAGAATTATTGACATTTATTTTCCACAAATAACAGAAGAAAGTCTGTCCGCTTTCTTTTTGCCATTTTTCCCTTTATTTTAAAACCTAATAAAATTAAAATAATAAAGAAAAAACATATTTAGCAATATATAATTTTGTTTATCAAAAACTCTCTAAGTTGACTTTTGAAAAGGTTTTGTAACATTTATGTCTGTAGTTTCATTTTAGTGGACTGAGAATAAAAATAATCTCTTTCTGTTCATAAAGGTTACAGAAGGTGTTTATTTGTTTCAACATAAATACGGTTTAGTGTTTTAATCCATAATGTTTAGTAGTAATTAATATTATATATAAATTCAACACCAGATGGCGCTGATGTGCTGCAAAGATAAACTACATCAGCTTATTTCATTGACCTTCTCCACCATTATTAATGCATCACTCATGTTCATCATAGAGGTTTTATATTCTAATGTAAACTAAATAAACTGATTTTGTGTCTAATTTTACATAAAGTTCATTTTGCACCAGTTCCTTCCATCATGCAGCTTCCCTGACTCAGACTTTGTGCTGCTGGTGAACCGGGTTTCTGTCTGCTGGTTGAAGCAGCAGCAGGAAGTGAACAGCAGCAGAGGAAGAGGGCGGACTGAGCCGGTCTCACCAGCACCGACCCAAACGGGTCAACGCTCTGAGGAGACATGGAGGAAACATCAGCCAGACGTCTGCTGGGTGAGAAACTGTCTGAATTTCTGCTTTGGTTCTGGTGGTTCTGATGGTTCTGATGGTTCTGGTGGTGAGGTCAGAGGTTAAACTGGACCCAAACCCAGCAGGACTTTAAGAAGGGAACAGGAAATGTGTCAGACCTTCATGATGAGGATCAGAAATGTTCTGCAGTCGGTCGTTAACTTCAGCTGAACTTTGTTCTCCTCAGAGTTCATCGTCCTGCTGAGCTGCTCAGGAAACTCAGGTCAGTGTTTCATCCTCCACCTGCTGAATGAAGCTGCTGCTTCGCTACAGGAACTGAAGTTAATCAGAGACTGAAACGTTACGTCATCGTCTGATTCATCAATATTTAACTCCTGAGATTCAGAACCTTATTATAGGCTGGAGGAATCAGACATGATCAATGAAGGCAGATCAGAGAATTTACAGACAGTTCTGTTTTCTCCAGTTCTCCCAGTTCGTCTGACTGTGAGTCCCAGCAGATCTCAGTTCTTTGAATATGAATCAGTGACTCTGATCTGTGAGGATGAAAACAGCTCTGATGGAGGAACTGTGAGGAGAAACACAACCAGAGGAACCAGGAAGCGATGTGGAGATGGATGGGGGAGACCAGCTGGTTCCTCCTGCAGCCTGATCTACCTCCTCCCATTAGACTCTGGCCTGTACTGGTGTGAGTCCATGTCTGGATCCTCCAGCAGCAGCAGCAGCAGCATCCAGCTCTCTGTCTCTGGTAAGATCAGACTGTGGAGTTAGTGTTGCTGTGTGGAAATGGATGAAATGCTGTAGTTTGTCTCTGTGTTGAGGTGGATCAGTGATCCTGCAGAGTCCTGTCCTCCCTGTGATGGAGGGAGATGACGTCACTCTGAGCTGCAGAGCAAAGAGTCCAGCCCACAACCTCCCAGCTGCTTTCTATAAAGATGGCTCCTTCATTGGTGATGGACCATCAGGTCACATGACCCTCCTCCATGTCTCCAGCTCTGATGAAGGCCTCTATAAGTGCAGCATCAGCGGTCAGGGAGAGTCTCCATCCAGCAGGATCTCTGTGGAAGGTCAGCAGCTTCTCTGTTTGCTTCAACCTTCATCAGGAGACAAGAAATAAATTATTACTTTGATTCATTTCAGGGAGAATCACCTCCACTCCTCCTTTGTCCTCCGCCTCCATCCCTCCATCCATCTCTCCTCCTGACCTCCAGAACCTCCACACCATCCATTGTGTCATTTTCTTCAGTGCTCTTGTTTCTCTGCTCTACCTGGTTCTGCTGGTTTCGTTCTTTATCCAGATGGACCATGAAGGTGAGAATCTGACTGAAATGATCCCAGCAGGAACATTAAATGTGTTTTAACTCAGTTCAGGTTCTCAGACAGCAGAACGTTACCTTGTTGATCTGCAGAACTTCATCACGGTCAGAACCTGCTGGTTCTGTTGCTCCACCTTATCGTCCTCCTGAATGCAGAAAGGATTTTATTTTACAGTTTATAGATTTTATGATCACTGGTTTTTAGTCCAAACACCAACAGCAAACCAGATGTTTTAGTTTAGTGTGTTAAACATGATTCTGTCCATCACTGGGTGGACGATGTTTAGACCTCAGCTTCCTGTTGGTTCAGGAAAGTTTCATCAGACCTGATCAGAACCGATCCGATCTCACCGCAGATCATCTCAAGTCTCAGTTTCTCCTCTGTGGTCTGAAGGTTTTAGTGACAACAGATGCAGTCAGATTAGTCTGAGCTGCACGGTGTTTTTCTGCAGCAGTGGAACATGCGGTGGTCTGCTTCTCGTGTCACCAACATCCTGCAGTTCAGACCAACCAGAAGCAGCCAGAATGTTCCAGAAAACTTTAACTGTCTGCTTGTTTTGAAGGA